AATTTCATCGCGCGACAAGCGTCAAAAATGAAATACGGCCGATCGATCCTCGTTTGATGAAAAACACCCGCGAATCGACGGACTTTTCTGCGTAAGAGATCTTCTGGGAAGCATATAACGTTCAGCAAACACACAGACCGCGTTTGCGCCACGACTTGAAAACAGCGCCCAAGGAAACAGCTTGAGCAAATTGTTAAATTTTTTCTCCTCGCGTTAATTTCCCTGCCGATTTTTATTTCGCACGTATTCCCCCGAGTTTGCCTCTGCAGGTTCATTAACACTTTTCCAGTATTCGTTTGCATTGCCTGATCGCCTGGCACTCGAGTTTCTTCGTCGTTTTTTCCATTTATTTGCTCGACTACGACCGCCACTTCCGTTAAACTGTCTTACTAGGAACTTCCCCCGAGTTGCATGGCCAATTAACACCCCGAGTTTATGGAACGTATTGACTCCAATTACAGTGCTTACCTCATGTATTTGGAAACGGTGAATCGTCGGAACGAAGAATGGAAATTCCGCGCGTATGGAAACATACGGTGTTAGAAAATTTCCAGTAAATTAATTTCATCGTAAACCTTCGTTAACAGTGAAGTTTCAAATCTTTCGTATTCATATTTCACACCAGAAGACACGCGAATCTTCTCCTTTAGAAGAAAATTTGGAAATTTTTCCCACTCGTTTTTCACGCCACGAGAGAAGCAGGATAAATCAATTTCAGACCCAAATACTACCAGAAAATTCGAGAAATTTATCATTGAAATTTTTGCCTACTCCTCGTAAATCTTTTACTGGAATTCGCCATTTTTCTCCTGTGAATTATGGAGCTTCTCACTGGATTCTATTAGGTTGTCCGGAAATAAATTGCGGTTTTCTGTTATGTCATATTTAGGGCTTTTCTATACTATATATTTTAAATTTATGTTTATTACGTAATATACCATTTGAACGTGTAGATGTCGCTCTATCATATAAGCGATACACTTTTCTTTTTTACCGTCGTTTGTTCTGAGTGTAACATAAAGACGTAACAATGGACAAGAAGCAAATTTGTACCATATTTCTATATGAATTTAAATTAGGACGTAAAGCCGCGGAAACTGGCCGCAATATCAATAATGTATTCGGTGAAAGCACAACTAGTGAACGTACCGTTCAACATTGGTTTAAAGCATTTCGTGGTGGTGATGAAAGTCTCGAAGATAAAGAAGGCCGAGGCCGGCCTTCTGCCATTGATAATGATGTACTGAAAGCATATGTCGAAGATGTCCCGTGTACAACTGTGAGAGAACTTGCAGAAAATCTAAATGTAAGTAAAACAATTGTATCTAATCACTTGAAGGAAATTGTAAAATCGAAGAAACTTGATAAATGGATCCCCCGTGAACTCAACGAAGGGCAGAAAAGTCGTCGATTCGAAATTTGCTCTGCACTCCTTAAGCGAAACGAAAATGAACCATTTCTTCATCGAATAATAACGTGCGATGAGAAGTGGATCCTGTATGATAATCACCGTCGTTCAGCTCAGTGGCTAGACTACGATCAAGCTCCAAAGCACTTCCCGATACCAAAGTTACACCAAAAGAAAGTTATGGTGACAGTTTGGTGGTCAAGAGCAAATAATAATGAAACTGTTACTTCAGAAAAATATTGTAAGGAACTGGAAGAAATGCATAAAAAGTTATTTGTTAAACAAGCAAGTTTGGTAAATCGTAAGGGACTAATTACTCCTACACGATAACGCCCGTCCGCACGTTATCACAATTCACGATTCGGAAGATACACTCTCCTCACTCCTCCGACTTATCCCCTACAGATTGCCATTTTTTTTAAACATTTGGGTAACTTTTTGCGAGAAAAAATCTTCCGCAAACAAGAGGATGCTGTAAATACCTTCGTGGAATTTATTCATTCTAGAACTCCTGATTTTTATTGTAATCGAATAGAAACTCTTGTGAAACGTTGGAAAAAGAATCTAATGGGAATTATTTCGATTGAATAAATTCATTTTCTGAGAAGAACTACACGCGTTTAAATCTCATGTACAGGAACCGCAATTTATTACCGGACAACCTAATGCAATTACTATGGAAGCGTTAAAGATGCGAAGTGCAAAAAATTAATTTTGTCGGAGAATAATTACGAAGAGAAGAAAAAGTGGTCTACATTAATTGCGTGACAGATTTAATGATAATTTACGACGATTCATCGACTGATTACGTACACACCTCGCGAATTATTGCAAAGTGTCGTTTAGAAGCGACGAAGGTGAATATATTACGTCTTTCTGACGTTTCTGAACGGCAGATCGTTAAATTAGGTACACTTCGAAGTGACGAAGTTAAGAATACGACCGTAAATTAAGAAAGATCGTTAAACACGTCGAATTACTCAGTTTGATATAGTTCTTTTTCCCCGGTTGTCGAACGAATTAGACGATTCACGCGAAGAGGTTAATTATCGGAGAGGATAACGAGTCTTCGCGGAGAGGAAGCGGTCGGAAAGTGTTGTAAAACTGTGATTGGTAGATAGAGAAGTGTACCTATACGAGCGGTAAGATAAATTTGTACACTTTCCCGATGTTACGTGACTGAATAAACTATCGACAAAGGCTATTATCACGTTTCTTCCTTAATTAATATCGCCAATCGGATTCTATTATGCGTCGATGGAAATTCAAACGAGCGGAGGCAACTGTCAACTGACAAATCAACGAACAACGAATGAAATTATCGCACGATTAATAAAACATTAGATTATCTGAATAATTCCCGTGCAAATCGACCGGGTGCAAAAAATGTCTACGAGGAAATAAGCGTTCGCCACAACTTCGCGAAACTTTCACTGAAAACTCCCGATAAAAGAGAAAAACGAAGGTACGCGCCGGGAAAATAAATCTTCGGCGCGATTTCGTGAAACGCGTGAATTTTCGTCGGGAAAATTCTACAAAACGTCGGCAGGCAAATATCTGCAACGAAAAACGTGGAATCTACGTGGAAATAAATATTCCGGCGTAACCATTTGGTGAGAAGAGATCAAACGAAACTACGACAAGGAGTTTCATTTTTTGAACTAATTGTAGAGAAATAAATTCAGTGGAGTTTC